ACTGTCCAGTGGCTGGAAGATGAAGCTAGACAAATTCAATCTGAAATAAGTTTCAATGGTGAAAATAATTTACCAAGCGCCTTGGGGGAGTCTCTCCATCACTGGTCAATTTCAAATCCAGATGGGGTGATTTTCTAGAAGAGCTGCTCTTGGAATATTTTGGGGAAGTTCCACAGCCTGTGTTATACAAGCGGTCAGATTAGATGATCACAACAGTCCCTTATGGGCTTGGAATCATCACACCAAATGACATTCTTCCATTCTTCATCAGAATGTAACTGGTTTGTTACACTCATCCACTGGGAAGCTTCTTTGAAAACAGAGATTCCAGAGGGTGACATTTCACATTGTATGAACTCCAAAGTCGGTCAAAAATAGTCTATGTATTTATAGCTATACCAGGCTAAGGAGTTCACCCTCCTGATCTAGCTGAGTGTAACAATCTGTAGTCAACCTTTACTTAATTTTTTTTAAAAGCATGTCCCCATCATTTCCCCAATTTTGTCCACCCTGTGAGGTATAACAATACAGAAGAGGGACAGAGACATCTAAACTGAGTAACACACACACACACACACACACACACACACACACACACACAAGCCATTTATGTGTACTCTGTTAGATTTTAAATAACGTGCTTCAATCAAGGTGATAACTGTACAACCTATGCCTTGTCTAAATAACCACAGTTATTAACATATTCTAAAGGTATTTGCCTTTTGACTCTAGTTTGATTTTTTTGTCCAGTGATTATATCTGCAGTGGTACCCCCACGTTTTGCAAGTGAAGCGCCAGATTTTGTTTTCACCCCAGCTTCCACCCATAGGAAATCCACTGTTTTCCCAGGAGTTCCTCCGCAAGTCCACCCCACTGAGATAAGAATTTGGCCCCTTATATCAACATGGACCTAAACAAGAAAATGACACATCTCTCCCACTCCTGTAGCTAGACAGTATCAAGTGTGTTCTGCTGTGAATAGGAAAAGATAAGAGTCCAATGCAATCTCAGCCCGCAACCCTGCACATGCCGATTCAATGCACAGCAGCAAGAGGAGAAAAAGTCCTGGTTGTTAGCTCTCACCTTAATGCCCTCTGCATAGGGATGGAAATAGTGAAACAAGCTGTGGGAAGGCTGATAAGGGAAACTGCATAGGGATGGAAATAGTGAAACAAGCTGCGGGAAGGCTGAGAAGGGAAAGCCCGCACACACACACACATACAGGCTATGCTAGAGGACCCGAGATTTTAGCTCCTACTTCACAGTGAAACCCCAGAAGTCTCGCTCACCCTTTTGGTGCATTGAGCGAAGGGCGAATCCGAGTTCCTGCGGCAGGTGATCGAAGAGGCAGAACCGCGCGGGGAAGTGTTGAGCCGGAAAATGCCCATCGCAGCCCTGGATCTGTTAGCAATCAGGTTTGATTTACCAGCCATATTGTATTAAAAACCAGACGTGAGCCACATACCAACACGCTGGCCTGGCCCCGAGCAATTTGGTTTGGAAAGAAAACACATACACACACACACACACACACTGCTGCCTGCAGAGAGAGGCTGGGGGTGACTCCCAGGCACCGACTGGGAAAGCGACAACCCCTGTTACTTTTACTACAACACCCCGGGGCAGTTCCTGCTTCCTTCCCCGCGCTACAATCAAGGCACTTTGTCAAATAAAGCCCCGCTCCATCCCAGCCACCTTCCAGCTGAGCAGGGAGCCTCGGAGCGAGTGCCATGCACCGCAAGCCCAGCCCGTTACGCGCCGGAGGGAGAGGGAGCCGGGCTTACCATTGCAGCGAGGCGTGGAAATGCATTCTTCACCTGCCCAGGTGAGCCAGGCCACCTGCCACTGGGAGGGGAGGAGGAGGGCGCACCTGCAGCCGCGATCTGCTAGAGTCCAGGAGGCGCCGAGGAATCCGGGAGAGGAG